GAATGCAGCACAAGTCACAAATTTCTAGAAAACCTGCAACTACAAACTCCTTTCAACTCTGTTACACATACACACTTACATAAATAAACACATCTTCAGACTCTCCGGCAGGTAGGAGGACTCAGTCTATTTTGTTCTTAAACAGAAGCAGCTATGAAAATTCTAGTTTCCAGCTACATTTAGTTCCATAGTTGTGTCTGATTTGTATTCATTGTGTTCAAGGTATTTTTAACTTAATAGTCCTATAGTAATATGAATTTGTCCTTCCTGATCACTTTCCTGATTAGAATTCAAACACTATGCACAAGTTCAATGGCCGTTAACAGTCTTTTCCACTCAAAATCACACGTCCATCTGTCTGGAGGTTGATATTTTCATTCTGGTTTCTCTCCTTTGGTACCGAAGTATTAATTTGTAAATTAATAAATTTAACCCAGAACCACTGCCAGAGCTAAACAGGCACTGCGGTTTTTTGTTTTGTTTTGTTTTGTTTTGTTTTTTAACTTTGAGTGTATTTCTAAGGGTATCTCATGTCATGAATAACCCACTGAAATGTTGGTCTTTTGAGAAAAGCTTGATTGCTGTTCGTTGAGGAAGCATGGCAGAAATCACGTTCCACTGTCCCCTTTAATCTCCGTAAATAAGAGTCAGTTGAGGGGTCACCAGATGGCATAATGGTTGCGGCACTGGCCTCCCATGTAGTCAAGCATGGTTCTAGTCCCGGACTTGATGATTTAAAACTCACACCAGGCACGTGTGTGTGAGTGCCCAAAATCCTGAAAGGAGAACAGACTGGAGTGTGGCCATCCCCCCGGGGGGCAGTGGGTGGTGATCTCTCCCTTTCTATCTGTCTTTCTTTCTGGCAAGAAAGGCACCCTGTAGCAAAAAATCTCTCTCAAAAGAAAGAGAAAAGAAAAGAAAAAGAAAAAAAAGGAGTCAATTGAGGAAGACAGCTTTGTTCTGACAGGTCAAAGCCTACTCCTGGCAGAACTATAAAGTATTCCTTGATGGGACATCCTCATTTTTTTCTTTCTTCTTCTTTTTATATATATCTATTTAGAATACAAAATTTGCTATTTATTCACTACACTCCTTTGATTCATGATTCATGACAGTGAGATAATCTACATTTATCTTGTTTAAAAGTCGGGCGTTGGATGGGAGAGTCCTATTCTTCAGTTAAAATTTGTCTCACCACTCTATATGCTAATTTTCTCCTGGAATGACTTTAATAGTCATTCCAGAAAAAAGCAATAACCTGAAAGATGACTAAAATGCTGTTTTTATTCTCAAGGAAGGTCTTTATTATGTTATCAGAGAGGTGAGAAAAAAGCAATAAACCAAAAGATGATGAAAATACTGTGTCTATTCTCAAGGAAGGTCTTTATTATGTTATCAAAGCAAGAATTTCTCCCACATGTCTCTAAAAGAAGGAGTGGTTTTTGATCACAGTACACCATAGATAATGGAGGTGCTGTTTGACTTAATTTCCCCTTCACAAGTGAAAGCAAACAGATATAGTAAAAATATGATTAAATAAACTTTCATCCTGTAAGTGCACACAAAGCAATGCATGCAAATGTAAGGAAATAAACCGGACCTATATTTTACATTGTCATTTATAACTTATTTGAATTCATAGCTAGATATATAATCAGATACAATTTGAGCTCTGATATTTCAAGATAACAATTTGGAATATTAGGCTGAGCTAAAAAATAGGAAGTCTGACAAGGCCTTCCTGTAGGATAGGAATTCTGTAATTGAAGCCCACACCCTAACTGACGAATCATAGACGTCAGGACGAAGGGTAACTGAAGTGAGCATGACATTGGGGTGCTGCTCTGTGATACCCGCAGCAGGAAATCCCATACGCCTACCCCAGAGGGTTAAGTCACATTGGTTTACAAACCTAAAACCTAAGTTACTAAAACTGGTTTCCAGAAACATCATGAAGACCCTGTTCTATGCTTTGTCTTAATCCCACTTGTGATTCATTTCTGGGTAGGGAGTGAACAGACATAATAAAAAGTATAAGTAAGAAAGTATGTCTCCACCCTGCTTATTAATTTATTTTTATTTTGGAGAGGTTTTTTGCTATAGGGCACATGCGCTCGCCAGACAGACAAAGAGATAGAAAGCAAGAAATAACCCCCCGGGGGCATGGCCGCACTGCAATCCCTTCTCCTCCATTCTCCTCTAGGGATCTTAGGCATGCACGCACACGCACCCAGCTGTGAGTTTAAGCCACCGGGTCCGGGACTCAAACTAAGGTCAGCTACATGGGAGTTCAGTGACATAGCCATTATGCTAACTGCTGGTCACCCAACCCTGTTTACTTTTCAAAAGCAAAGTAAACACCTCCTGCTATGTGCCAGTTCACCTGTGTTACAGAGAAATATCAAAGGGACAATTATAGGATCCACAAACACCTGGTTATTTCCCAAGATATGAGCAAAGGCCTCATCTACACCCTGGGAGAAACTGACATGACAATTTAAAATCTATGAACTATTTCCTAGTTTGGGGGCACAATTCAAATCCTAGACACGTTACATAAATTATTTCATCTTTTCAACAGCGCCGCATGGTAGCATACTACTAACATCCCCCCTTTACTCAGAAGGAAATTCTAGCTGAGTTCACAGCGCTGTATTATAAGCAGAAAGCCAAGTCCAACAATATTCAGTAAGACAGGAAGGCACCACCTAGGAAGCCAAAGGGAATTCCACCAAGGAGCTGGCAACAAGGCAGAGTCCTGGGTGACAAGCTGGTGCCACCAGAAGTGATACAGAATTCAAAATGTTGAGAGGATAAGAAAGAAACGTATCATTTCAGGAACTCTTAGCCCCTGAGCTTTTCATCTTTTGATCTTATAACTTATGTATTTTGGTCCTAAGGTTTGTCATCTGCCTCTCCACCTCTATTTTGAATCAAGATCCTTAAGAAATAAGAGAGAGCAATGGACATATAGTTTAACGATTTTCCTCATTTCTGTTACTTCTAATTGTGAAAGGAATCATTTGGTATAGAAAATTGTAAGTTGGGGGACCAGCAAATGGTATAATGTTTATGTCACTGGACTTCCATGTAGTCAACTACGGTTCACGTCCTGGGCCTGGTGGCTTAAAACTCACACTGAATGTGTGTGCGTGTATACTCAAAAGCCTGAGAGGAGAACAGAGGAGAAGGGATTGCAGTGTGGCCATCCCCGTTGGGGGTGGTTTCTCACTTTCTGTCTCTCTCCAGCAGCACATACATCCTATAGCAAACATCTCTCTAAAAAAATTAAAGTTGTAAGTTAGAACTTAGAAAATAGGTAGATAGGGAATCAGCAGTTAGCGTAATGGCTATGTTGCTGGACTCCCACGTAGTCGACCACGGTTCGCGTCCCGGACCCAGTGGCTTAAAACTCACGCCAGGTGCATGTGCGTGTGTGCCCAAGATCCCAAGAGGAGAATGGAGGAGAAGGGATTGCGGCGTGACCATCCCCCCTGGGGGGTGATTTCTCGCTTTCTGTCTCTCTGTCTCTCTCTGTCTGTCTGGTGAGCGCATGCGCCCTATAGCGAAAACCTCTCAAAAAAAAAAAAAAAGAAAATAGGTAGATAAATGGATAAATAAATAGCAACAAGTCAGCAAGTAATCCATCCTGGAAGTCACTTAACCCTAGACCAAAACTAAATTAAAGGGGCTGATGGCCTTTTACAGCTGTCCCCACTTAAGATATTCACTAGCAATTAAGTGGCACCAAAAACTCAGACTCATGCTAAATGAAGTCACCTAAGTGCTTTGTGTTAATATAACAACCAAATACTAGAGCTGACCTCTTAGTTATGACATCACAATGGAAAGCAAATTTAGGAACCGTCCTTTAAAACTGCAAGAAAATTCACAAAGGCCAAAACAATAGGCTTATAGGTTAAACTTG